ATCGATTACCGAGGGTTTGAAATCTGAGCTCAGATCGATCGCTACCTGGTCACTTAAGCTAAACAGATCTGTTGAATGAAGCGTCTACGGTAGCACGAATCGTGCTTTTTCGAGTGTGTTTGCGTAATCCTTTGATACTTGGAAATTTTCTGCAAATTTGATCAACTTCATACTTGTCAAACACACGCTGATCAGGTGAGTAATATGTGCTCGACTTTTGAATACCAAACTTTCATGAGTAACTACATAAAAGCGTTCATAGAATGCATATTGTTTTCTATTTCTTATAGAGTAGTTATTTTATTATTTCAGAAATGAAATTTGTTTTCGATGGCGGAATCACCAAGGAACGAATGAAATCTGTGTATTGGGCAGCCAAAAGACAGCAACCAAAACCGGCGCACGAAAGAGCATGTTTAATGGTTGTTCAAACTGAAACTGAAACTTAGGCTTGAGGAAACCAGTGATTGAATCAGTGACTGACTGAGACAATGAGTTGTTTACCTGTGTCATTGGTTGTTCGTCAGTAGCTGGTTACTACTGTGAATTTGATAGTGAGATTAACCGTGATTCAAAACCGTTAAATCAGATTTGTAGATGCAAGTCTCTTGCATTTTCCACGAGGGTATTTGGGAACTATTTCAAAGAACAATTAAAAATATGTCGTTCCGCTGGACTGGAATAAACTGGGAACAGATGTGTTTGGGAGATTTTCAGATCGTTTGTGCAGTGAATAGACGACCAAGAAGCTTCGTAAACTACATCAAGCAGATAGCAGTTTTTCTATTACATCAATCCCTGATCTCAATTCCTAACCAGATCTGGGAAGGTTTCGTATTTCAAATCAGCAGGACTACACGAACTGGAAACCAAATTATCAAGGTTATCTTTGTGTGCTTGGTTTTCCTATACTCACCTTTCGTCTTCTGCATACTGAGCATACTTCAGAAAGGAGAAACGTTTGCACAACAAGTCATCCCTGCTTCACATGTCTGTTCCATAAATTTTGAAACACAAACCAGCTATCTTCTTTCATTTGATCAGAGATCTAGTTCGGTTAACTAGTTACAGCTACATCAGCTACATCACCGAGTTGGTGTGCAGAATTCAAAATGGTACTTCACTGTTTGAAATGAACTGGTTATTCATAAATAGGTTATTGTTTAATAATACTAAGTTGCAACAAATCTTGAAGGCCCTGTTTGATAGGGACCTGTTACGTAAGTTGTTATTATGTTGTTTGGTAGACAGAAACGACCTTGGGGTAAAATTAAAGAATGTAAGTTCATTTTCTTTTCTTTATCTAGTTGACTGAGATGATATCTTAGACAATCCAATTTCCATTCCTCTTATTCCTATATAGGTTAAAACCGATAATGAAACCAAGTGAATGAACTGCATACGAGAAGAACATGCTTCGTTGAATAACGATCACCGTCATACAGAAAACGGTGTCACACATAAGTAGCTATTGTCAAACGACTATGAGTGTACTAAAATTGGAGAAGTCATTGTAAAACTGGAAATGCCTATATGATTGTAAGGGCTATACAATGGCATGCGATTGAACACTGTGGCTTTGAAGGCCAAGTGAAGCAGTATGGAAGTCAAAAACAAACACTTTTGGAATAGAAGATGAAAGGAACAGATTTTATTGAAATAAATTTCGTACTTGCAATGTGAGGTATAGAGAACATATACAGTGTGAAAGGAGTTATATAATGTGACACAAAGCGGTCAGCATGGCACATGTTTGAAGGGTGAAAACGTAATGACACTGACCTGCTAAAAACACCGAGCTACACCGCAGGTTTTTCCGTGAACCGAAAACATTCTGCGGAGAAAATAAAATTTCAATGATGGGCAACAGAGTAAAAACGGAAATAACTGAAAAATATCAATGGAAAGGAAGAATAAGCCCTATTTATAATAATGATAACACTACCAAGTCATTAGACAAATTGAACTATCGGTTTACTGCGTTTTTTGCTTGTTCATGACTAAATTCGGCTGGAAGAAATCAAATCATGCAGAGAGTAGAACGGATTTCAGGTGTACAACAATAATCAAGGGCACACAGATGGCGAGTTAGTTAGATATTTTGTAAATACGAATGATCATGAACCAAAAAAAACCGCAGCTAATTGGAGCATCATGAGATCGCGAATGGTTGGTACATTTTAGTAAAACAATATTTAATATTTAGCATTCTATCATGAGCAATCGGATCTTTCCAAAATTTGGCCAAACGTGGTAATCAAATGAGACATCAAATTACTAGGAATACAGAATACTGCTAAAAGTGTATTGTAGAGAGATTTCTATGTGTACATGTGTGTACAACCCATTCACTTGTTTCATCTTTTTTTGTAGAAATACGCACTGCTCGGTTTCGCATTTAGCAGAGGACCCAAAAGTCATTCGCACGAGGGGCTCGCCAAGCCATTTTTGTGAATGATGTCACAAGAGAGTCGCACGGAGGAACGGACACTGAGAACGACAATCTCGACAACCATATTGCCAACACAAAGTTCAAGCACCACGGGACAAGATCAGCGAGCTAGTGGGGACACGGGAGACGATAACTGTACTGAAGGCAAATCCATTCACACACGTACTGCAACTGGGATTGGTATGTTACGCAACACACCGGATGCAAACTGTGCTCTGACAAGTGGTGAATCTCGATCAGCCACGGAGCTCGGTGAATCGTGTGTTGAGGTGGACTATGAGAATGGCACACATGGAAAATTGATTGGTTGTTTTGACGAGAAACCACTGGCATCGGATATGAACAATGCGGCGTCTAGTTCGAATCCACTTACTTTAGTAAAAACCAAACCCGGACAGGACACAGTGGAGTCAGAGGAGAAAGACAGCCAGGAAAAATCCAGCACAGATTCGACTAACTATTCCACATCAATTTCTCCTTGCTCGGATAACACGGACAAAGTAGTGTCCGCCTCACCGATGCCCCAGGCTCAGTTGCACAAGACAAATGTAAAAGACAGCACAAACTCCATGTTACGCTCGACTACGGACGAAATTAGTGGGTTAGTCAAAGAAAAATTAATTTCAATATTGGGATGTTTCGATGTTATTTTACTTACTATTTCATGATACTTTGCGCTTGGCATTGTACATTAGTCGTGGTTGTTAGCTTCATGGCCACTGAGGTTTGTACCACCCCAGTTCGGTCTGTAATGTTATTTCTCAATCCAAGGTTTACATCGACCTCTCTCGTAAGTGGGTAATAAACCCATTTTAACGTTTATCATCTTAAGGAATATAATTGAGAAGAAAATCACCCAATATCTTATTAGGTACAAGAATAAGACCATAGGTCTGTCGTATGCTTCGCATAGTGATCACCCCATCGCCAAAATGTTCTTACTGTAGCCTTACATCTCTACGAATTCCTACTATAGAATGATTCGACTGCATAAATCTGCTGGACACGTGTCGAAGAAACTCAGTCGGGATTGAGATAGGTACAGATTACAATCCATTCTTGGTTTCAACGGCGACTAGCACAGATCAGCCAGAGAACCCAGCGCTNNNNGGGGAAACTTAATATTTTCCCACACGTTTCGTATATGAACAGCTGAAAGCATGATCAAATCCTACCGGATGCCACTCTTTATTCGGAAGGTGATTTTTCCTCGTGAAAAAAGTATAATTGAGATCAATAACGTTCAACTTTCACACTTGATAGATTTCTCTTGGTAATGAGCCCAACGTTTTTTGCATTTTCTCCTTTACCCTTCTCTATTTAAAGATGCTTGTTAGAGAACTACAAGTTCAGCTCT